TGGGGCAGTTCTGCTCTGTCCTATAGGGTCGCTATGAGTCGAAATAGACTTGACAGCAATGGGGTTTTTTTGGCTGGGTAGGGTTCTTTAGTGAAATCATCTGGGACTGGAGATGTTGGTGTGTTAGTACGGTTTTTAAATTATAAATTAATAGCTATAGGGCTAATAAAATCATCTATGTTATATTGGATGAGCTGTGGTAGTTTATGTTTTTTGAGGAAGTGGCCCATTTCATCTAAGATGTCAAATTTATGTGTATGGAGTTTTTCATAGTATTCCCTAATTATCATTTTGATGTTTCATTCATGATATTGGTAATTTGTGTCTTCTCTCTTTTTTCTTTGTCATTGTTGCTATATGTTTGTCAATTGTATTGATCTCTTCAAAGAATATGTGTTAATTGTTAATATATGAAATTATGTAATATATAGTGAAACCTATGGGATCCGCAACTTGACGAGACTGCCCTGTTTTTCTGGATCTTGCAAGTTTTCTGCCTTTGACAGGGTGCGGTCTTAACTTTCCTATTGCTCGTTTAATGGAAAATTTTTGAGCTCTGTTTCTTTGACATGTTTCCGCCTTACCCAGGTTCCAGCTTTCGCAGGTTTTCCTGTAATAGTTGATATGTTAGGACTTAACAAGATCTTTGTTTCATTGATTTTTCTCTATTGTTTTTCTGTTTTCAATTTTTTATTTCTGTTGTTTATTTTTTCCTTTCTGCTTGCTTTGAGTTTATTTTGCTCTTCCTTTTCTAGGTTTTTGAGTTGGTAGTATAGAATATTGATTTGAAACTTTTCTGTTTTCTTATGTATGCCTTTAGTGCTATAAATTTCCCTATCAGCACTGCTTTAGCTGTGTCCCACAGATTTTGACATATTGCATTTTCTTGTTTATTCAGTTTTATGTATCTTTTTTTTTTTATTTCCCTTGAGACATCCTCTTTGACCTGTGGACCATTAAGAATTGTGTTGTTTAGTTTCCAAGGGCTTGGAAGTTTTCTTCTTATCTTTCTGTTATTGATTTCTAGTTTGATTCCATTATGGAGTGTTGATTCCATTGTTGGAGAACACTCTAGGTATGCTTTCAGTTATTTTAAGCTTATTGCAGTTTGTTTTATGGCCTAGGATATAGTCTATTTTAGTGTATGTTTTCTGGGAACTTGAAAAACATGTCTATTCTGCTGTTGGGTGGAGTGTTCTATAAATGTCAATTAGATCCTGTTGGTTAATGGTGTTGGTGAGTTTCTTTATACACTTGCTCATTTTCTGTCTAGTTGTTCTATCAGTTGTTGAGAGAGGAGTGTTGAAGTCTCAAACTATAATTGTGAGCTTGTCTACTGTTCCTTTCTGTTCCATCAGTTTTTGCTTCATGTATTTGGCAGCTCTGTTGCTTGGTGCATACACACTTAGTATTGCTTGTCTTGATGGATTGACTTTTATCACTATGACTTTCTCTGTCTCTGGTAATTTTCTTCGCTCTAAATCTACTGTATTTGATATTTGTATAGCTACTCTTGCTTTCCTTTGATTAATGTTGTCCTGATATATCTTTTTCATTTTTTTACTTTCAAAATGCCTGTCACTATATTTGAAGTTTCTTTTAGACATGTTTTTTAATCCACTCTGTCAACTTTGTCTTTTTAACTAGTATACATAGATGATTTACTTTTAATATATTAATTGATATGTTTGGGCTTAGGGAGCCCTGGTGGCACAGTGGTTAAAGTATTCAGCTGCTAACCAAAAGGTCAGTGGTTCGAACCTACCAGCTGCTCTGCTGTGGCAGTCTGCTTCTGTAAAGATTTACAGCCTTGGAAACCCTATGGGGCAGTTCTACTCTGTCCTGTAGGGTTGCTATGAGTCGGAATCGACTCAACGGCAGTGAGTTTGGTTTTTTGGTTTGGATTTGGGCTTAAGTCTGCCATTTTATTTTTTCTGTTTGTTTTCTGTTTTTCATTTCCTTGTTTTTTTTTTTCCTGCCTTCCTGTGGATTACTTGAACATTTTTAGAACTTTATTTTAATTTATCTATAGTGTTTTGAGTGTATCTCTTAGTATAACTTTTTTAGTCATTGCTCAAGGTATTATATTACATATATGTATATAGATGCATATACACATATGTATGGATGTGTACATACATACGTATGCATATATACATACATACATATAATGATATGCATGCACACATATATATATATATACAAACTATTACTGTCTACTGTTATCATTTCACCAGTTCAAGTGAAGTACAGAAAATTTACCTTTCATCCTTTACATCCCTTTATCCTCCTTCATTTATAATTGTCTTAAATATTTTTTCTGTAGACATTCAGAACCACATCAGACAGTGTTATATTTTTTGCTTCAACTGTCAAACATGATTTAGAAAACTCAAGAGGTGAAGAAAAAGTAACTGTATTTAGCCATATTTCACTTATGTTCTTTCTTTCTAACTGATTTTACAAGGTTCCTTCTTTTATCCTTTAGATAACTTTAGAAAATTTTCTTTAGCCATTCCTTTAGAGTATGCTGGTAACAAGTTCTCTTAGTTTCTCTTTATCTGAGAATGTATTAATTGTCCTTTCATTCCTGAAGGATAGCCTCACAGAGCGTAGGATTCTGCATTGACAGTTCTTTTCTTTCAGCACTTGAAAAATATTGTGCCAGTTCCTTCTGACCGCCATAGTTTCTGATGAGAAATCTAGTGTTATTCAAATTGTTTTTTCCCTTATAGGTAAGGTATCATTTTTCTCTAGCTGTTTTCAAGATTTTGCCTTTGTGTTTAGTTTTCAGAAGTTTAATTATGATGGATCTTGGCATGGCTTTCTTCGAATTTATCCTGTTGGAGGTTTGCTCATCTTCTTGAATCTGTAGGTTTACGTCTCTCGTCAAATTTGGGAAGTTTGCAGCCATTATTTGTTCAATTATTTAGGTCACTGATCCTTGAGTTACTTTTGTATATGGCGTGAGGTAGGGATTCAACTTTATTCTTTTACATGTGGAAATCCATTATCCCAACACCATTTGTTGGAAGGACCATTCGTTTCCCATTGATGGACTTGGCAAGCTTGTCAAAAATCAATTATCCATAACTATATGGGGCCAATTTATTTTTTACATAACTGTAAAAAGCAAATTCAATGAGGAAATATTAATCTTCTCAGTAAATGGTGTTGGAACAATTGGATATCCATATGCAGAAGTGTGAACTTTGACCTAAATATCACACCTTACACAAAATTTAACTCCATTTGGATCATAGATCTAAATGTAAAACTATGAAACTTTGAGAAAGAAACATATGAGAAAAACCCCTGTGACCTGAGATTATGGAAAATGTTTTTAGACATGTACCAAAACATGATCCATAAAAGAAAAAATTGAGAAATTGGACTTCATCAAAATTAAAAACTTTTGTTCAGTAAAGGTCACTGTTTAAAGAATGAAAAAACAATCTCTGGATTAGAAGAAATTATTTACAAATTACATATCTGACAAAGGACTTGTATCCCGAATATATATTAAAAAAAACTCTCTAAACTCAACACTAACTAAACCAAAAACCCAATTAAAAAATGGGCAGAAGTCTTGAAAAGACATGTCACTAAAGGGAATAAAAGAAAGAAAAAAAGTTGCCGTCAAGTCGATTCCAATGCATAGTGACCCTATAGGACAGAGTAGAACTGCCCTATGGGGTTTCCAAGACTGTAAATCCTTACAGAAGCAGACTGACATATCTTTCTGCAGCAAAGGGGATACACAGATGGCAAATAATCACATAAAAAGGTGAGCAGCATCATTAGTCATTAGGAAATGTAATTAAGACCATGATGAGATACCACTACACATTGTTAGAAGGGCCAAAAGAAAAAATACTGACAATACCAAGTGCTGATGAGGATGAGGAACAACTGGACTTCTCATACACTACTGGTAGAATGCAAAGTGGTTCACCCATTCTGAAAAACTACTTGACAGTTCCTTATATAGTTAAACATGTAATTGCCACATGACCTAACAGTTCCACTCCTGGTATCTGCTTTAAAAAATGAAAACATATGTCCACACAAAAACCCACATGGAGATATTTATAGCAACTTTACTAGTAATCATTAAAAACAGGAAATAACCCAATTACCTTTCAACAGATGAATGGATAAACAAACTGTAGTATATCCCTATAATGGAATACTACTCAGCACTAAAAAGGAATAGACAATTGATAAATGCAACAATTTGGTTGAAACTCAAAGGCACTATGGTGAGTGAAAAAAGCCAATCTCAAGTCATATGCTATATGATTCCATTTATGTGACATTCTGGAAGAGGCAAAACAATAGTGACATAGAACAGATCAGTGGTTGCCAAAGGTTAGGAGTGGGAGAGAGTATGATTAAATAGGAGCAGCATGAGGGAATTTTATGGGATGACAGAACTGTTCTGTATCCTGATTGGTGGTTACATCAATCTATGCATGTGTTGTAATTCATAGAACTGTACACACACATACCTTGTTTTTACTAAATAAATAACAATAACAGCACAAGAAAAGCCTGCTGCACCATCCCCACACTGAAATTGTCCTGGGAATTATCTAGTATGTCTATCAGCAGCCTCCACCACCATACATTTAACCATGCTTCAATGAAAGCATGCAGTTAGTATTCAGGAGGGTCAATGAGGAGTGCTTTGCCAATAAGACAGTTGCTCAATTCAGCCATGTTGACATTAGACATCAAAGTATCCAAAATAAATTTTTTTCTGATCAAATAAAATTGTCTAAAATCTGCTGATATTAAATGAAGCATTCACATGTATGTGGCTGGGCCAGTGTCTACTGGACAAGTCAACTCTTCCATTTTAAGAAATACAGGGTATGGCTTATGAACAGTCCTTAGCCTAGAGAGTGTTTTCACTAAACTGCAAGGCTGTGTTACTTGAAGACATCAGACTCTAGCTTACCTCCTCCTTCCTTTTACTGCCTTTTGCTCCACTACAGGAGGTCGTGGCCCACTGGATTGCTAAAAGCCGCATTGCCATCGATCAGATTCGCTTGTTGACCCTGAAAGCTGCAAATAGCATCGACACTGTGGGCAGTGCTCGCGCCATGAAGGAGGTGAGGAGCGCCATCTGCCCAGCCTTCTCTTGTTTCTCCTACCCAGTGGGCATTTCCAGTATCACGGTGCTGTGATGGCACTCAGAATATTGGAGGCCTTTGTGTCATTTATGGTTTGAAGACTGTAAATATATGTCACTTGCTAGTTTCCCTTCCACTGGGCTGCTTTGGGCTGTGATTTTCAGGGTGCAGAGTATTTTAGCGATCTTGAGATGCAGCAACAGGAAGTGGGGAAATCCTAGGCTTTATACTGACCTGTAGTTGTACCAGTGTGCTTTTTGATCCCGGGCAAAGTACTTAATCTTTCTGCTTATGGCCTACTGTTCTTGTGAAGAGTAATCAAGACAGTGGACGTAGAATGCATAGCACTATGCTGCTGCCTAGTAAACGTTTCATAAAAGGCTCTCTAATTCCTGCCTTCTTGTGTTTCTAGCTTATATAGAATAAATATGAGTTGTTTAATTCTTATAGTTCATGAAGTTGCTAAGAGGAAACCGATTAGTGAACACCCTTGCACTCTCTTTATAATCCGTTATGTAATGAATGTGCAATACTGGCTGCCTGGAAACCTTCTGGGAACAAGGCAAGTTATAAATAAATGAATAAAATGTAATTTGGAAGCAATCTCTTTCCAGAAGGTCTGTATTGACTGAAATACAGTCATTAACTACGTTACAGCTGATCTTTTTGTTACCTTTCACAGAAGGTCCTTTGTTAGTGGTGAATGTGTGTGGGAGTCCCCTTGTTTCATTCCATAAAGAAAACAGATTATATCAAATTCTGCCACATTGTTTCTAGTCTAAGAATGGAATATTGTTTTCATATCTTGTTTCTATAGATTGCAATGATCAAAGTGGCTGCCCCGCGAGTGGTCTGCAAAATCATTGACCGAGCCATCCAAGTGTGTGGAGGTGCAGGTGTTTCCCAGGACTATCCTCTGGCTAACATGTGTGTAGATGTCATTTAATAACCGTCTGCATTTGATAAACTTAGGTTAAAATCTATAGATGCTTTGATACTAATTGTTTAAGAAGAAAATAAAGACACTAACTTACTTTAGAGGAGCCCTGGTGGTTCAGTGGTTAAGAGCTCAGCTGCTAACCAAAAGGTCAGTGGTCCGAATCCACCAGCTGCTCCTCTGGAGAAAGAGGTGGCAGTCTGCTTCCATAAGGATTACAGCCTTGGAAACCCTATGGGGCAGTTCTGCTCTGTCCTACAGGGTCACTATGAGTCAGAATCAACTCAATGGCAACAAGTTTTGTTTTTGTTTTTAAAATTACTTTAAAGTGTAATTGAAGGCTAAATGAAGTAATATCAGTACTTTAGTACAGAACTCGGCACCAAGAAATAGTTGTTCTTATGATCACCATTATTATTTCACTCCATTATGTTAGTGCTTATGCTGAGAGGTCCCACTGAGGGTTTGTGGACGATAGACATAGCATGGGGGTTCACCCTGAATCACGGAGAGGGGAGGGGAGCAGGGAAGCCAGAGGGAGCCCAGAGCCAGGCTCTGTTTGCACTTTGGGCCATTTACCACCTACACAAGGAAAGCTTCTGCTGAGTTAGCAGCAGTACACGTTGGTGACAACCTAATGTGCAGATTCTGGTTACTGGGAGTCAAGAAGGAACATTCTGCATGTCCTGTCTGTCACAGTGCCACCTTCTCTATCACACTGTAGATAAGAATCTGTTGGCCCAGCAATTTTTTTTTTTTTTTAATTGTTGCCTTGTCAATTTTTAACTTTGGAATGAAGTATATAGTACTATATCTTTTACTTTCTGTGGCTTACCTAAGATATCTCTTAGTTCTGGCAACTTTAATAACCTGCAGTAAACCAAGAATGAGAGTAACTCCACTGCCCTGTGCCATTTAAGATTCCACCTCCCAAACTGGGAACTTTAAAATGGCATTTCAGAAGCCATTTGGTTTACTTTCCTTGATTTTCCTTGTATTCCTTTTCTTATTCCTGCCCTCGTAGGATTTCAAAAAATAATAGTCTTGGCTTAGAATCAGAGCAGCTGATGTTAAAATACCATGTTCCCCTATGATAACCCCCATCCCTGCTCTTTTTGTTTTTCCAGGTATGCGCTAACCCGAAGTTTGCGCTTGGCAGACGGGCCCGATGAAGTCCACCTCTCAGCAGTCGCAGGAATGGAGCTGCACGACCAAGCCAAAGCACTGACAGCCAAATTGTAGGGCGGGTAACACCACACATTCCACTGGCAGAAACTCTCCTTTACACAAACTTAACCAGCCCCAGCGTTTGACACACATTATATTTTTGGAGCAACTTGAGAATAGGGTTAGTTACTCACTTTTGGTATTGATTTTAGCATCTATTTTGATCTCATTGGTTTTCACAGATTTAAATTAAATAGGAAATTCTGTAGTTGTTGTCACTCTGTCTAGTACTTAAATAGTTTAACATTTATTTTTTTAAACACTAAAATTGTAAAGAGATCATGAAGTAAATTGGAGCGCTAAAGCATAGGCATAAGAATATTTTCACTTTTTGATTTTCAGGAATTGTTCTGTGTAATACTCAAGCAATATTTAATCATTGTGTTGAAAAATATAGTGGGACCTCTTTTTTGATACTGGTTTTAGGGGCTGATTTAACACTGTAAACCAGCTGAGAAAGGTAAGTATTTTAATGGATGTTTACACTAGAGAAAGAAGCACGACTAACGGGCCACTTTAGAATTCGTATCATTATAAGCCTCTTTATAATTCCACAGGAAACATTTATGCATGAAATCCGAACGTGGTATAAAGTTTGCTAGAGAACATGGCATACTGTGAGAAAATTAAGCATAATTTAAATTTTTTATAAAAATGTTGATGAGTTAAGTGGACAGTTTAAGCCACAAAAAGTTACACAGCTTTGAGTTTAAAGATGGTCCACTCTGAACGCAGTCCTGTTAATAGCAAACACCCTGTGGCTGTTTAAAATCAGCACAGCCTAGTACAGTGGCCATTAGCCTCATGAACCTCTTGGGCACTTGAAATGTGCCTAGTGAGACAGGAACTGAAGTTTTAAAAATTTTGATCAATTTAAATACGATATTCAACTCAGTTAGTGGAAAACTTTTAAGTATGCTTGGAATAAGTTGGGAATGTGAAACTACTTTTTCAACTGTGAATTTTATGAAATCTAAATACACAGCAAGTATTTTAAATGAAAATTTAGCATCCAAATTAAGAAATGACAGATTTTGAAGACTAAGTATGAAAAATATATATAAAAATCTCAATACTTTTTTTATGTTGATTACATGTTGAAATGATAATATTTTGGATATATTTAGTTGAATAAAATATATTATTAATTTCACCTGTTTCTGGTTACTTTTTGAAGGTGGATGCTATTGGAACAGTAATCGGTAAATTTTTAAACTTTCAAGTAAAAGTATTTTTATTCCTAAAAATGTTTGAACTCTGTTTTACTAGAAACAGACATAAGTTCATTGATTTCCAGAGATTATATCAGTCATTATTTTAATTTCATCCTGGGGTGGAAGGGGGAAGTGACGACTTGAGAGAGACCTGGCTTTTGAGTGTAGAGTGTGTGAGTGTGAGAGAGACGCCTCTTAAGCATTCATTACCTTTGCGCCTTAACTTCTCTGCACCTCCCCAGACCTCCAAGATCTGCCCGTGTTTGGCAGCAGGGGAGCAGGAGCCTTGTGACTCCAGACTGGGAAGACAGCATGAGGCGCCACATGAAAGAGGCCCTAGTATTTCTCCAGCAAAACATATAGGATCCCAGAAGGGGTGGCAGTGCTTGTCCAGGGGAGTAAGTATCTCTTTGGTAGTTGAGATTTTTAACTTTGATAAAATATGATAGAAAGTTCGACTAATTGTGGAGGGACTGATTTCCTCATCAACCTGCAGTCAGTTACAAAGGCTCCCACACAACCCACATCACTCCAGCCGTTCCACACAGCTGTGATCCACTTACTTGTCCTGGGCATACTTATGTTTTGTCACAAAAGAACTGAAAAGGGTGAAAAGCAGCAAAGTGTAATCGCAGTGTTTAAGTATTTTAATGGATAGGTTGCATAGCGCTTGCAAAAAAGAAAAACAAAAAAAACTACTTTGCTCTTTTTTCTTTAATGAAGCTACAACAGTCTTTGGGAAGTTGAGAAGGAAAGCATATCTTGCCCAGGCTTCTGAAGGGTTTTAAATTAGTGAAAGTTCTTAAATAAAGGATATTACGAAAAATGCTGTATCTCAATAGAAGCCTTGGCCTTGGCTTCTCCCTTTCATTGGCACTAGATGGTTCTTGCCCAGGGAGCAGAGTAAAGAGCTGATACAGATCAATCAGTGGGGCTCCCTGTTAGCACTTCTGGTCAGTGCTTGTCTGTTGCATATATGTCTCCACCATCTTCTTTTGTCAGGATTTCTGCAGTATCTTCCTAACTGGGCTTCTGGTCTGTTCTCAGATACCCGTCTCAAAACGTTGCAGTGGCTTCCATCTCACTTAGATTAAAATTCAGAGTCCTTGTGTTGGCTGACAGGGGCCCGTATGAGCTTGTCCCTGACACCTCTCTGATTCCATCCCCCTGCCTCACTATCACCAGCCTCCTGGCTGCTGTTCCAACACAGAAGACAGTCAGGCCTCTGAGCCTCAGTTCTTCTTCCTGTTTCTCTGCCTGAGAGGAGTGACCCGGAAATTTCCAGATGTCTCTTCCAAAGTCACCTTATCAGAGGTCCCTTCTTGACCACTCGCTCTAAACCAGCACCATTAGGCTTTGTCATCCTGTACCTTATCTGCCTTTCTTTTCTCCATAGCACCCAGTTGACATGTTTTGTATCTGTTTATCTATGGTCTGTCTGTGCACTAGAATATCAGCCCACTTGTTCCCTGCTGTATTCACTTATGTCCCTTTTTTGTGTACTGGTATCTCCTTGGTCCCCAGAACCATGCCTGGCATCCAGTAGGCGCTCATTAAACTTGGAGTAAATGAGTGAATAGAGGAGGGTGCACAGATGCTCTCCTGATCTCTGATTTGCAGCACAGTAATTGGTGAGAGGGCAAAGCATTCACCTATAGAGCTCCAAATTCAACAGAGCAGAGCCAGAGCCCCTGCCTATGCACACAGGTTGTACAACAGCCTGGAATGGACTAGAGGAGCTGGAAAGACTGGGGCTGAGGAAAGACATTGGTGCCACAGCTGTAGAGGGCACAGAGCAGTTTAGGCAAATTGATCAAATACATGTTCAATGAGTATTTAACAATTCAGGGGAATATACATTTATTCTCCCCCCACCACACCCCCCAGGTCTAATCCAAGTCTGATCGGCCAGAGGGCTGTGATCAGCTCCAGGTACAGAGGGAAGGCAGAATACTAAGAGAAATAAAACCACTTCTAGTGATTATTAGAATTTTCCAAAGGAGCAGGATTTGGGGAAGTGTCTCCAATAATTCAGGGCAAAGAGCACGTAGAATCCTGCCATAATATTTTTATTTCTCCTTTTCAGCACCTCTTTCACATTGTAGTGGTTATGTGTTTATCATGAAGAAAATCCATGTACATTCTAGTATAATAGTGTGGTTTTGATAAAGTCTCTGAAACAAAGGCTTTTCTCTGCTTTATCTTCACCCCATCAAGAAATCAAAGGATGCATTGCATTGGGCAAATCTGCTGCAAAATACCTTTAAAGTGTTAAAAAGCAAAGATAGTCACTTTGAGGACTAAGGTACACCTGACCCAAGCCATGGTATTTTCAATCACCTCATATGCATGTGAAAGCTGGACAATGAATAAGGAAAACCGGAGAATTATAAATTATGGTATTGGCAAAGAATATTGAATATACCATGAACTGCCAGAAGAATTAACAAATCTGTCTTGGAAGAAGTACAGCCAGAATGCTCCTTAGAAGCAAGGATGGCAAGGCTTCCTCTCACGTACTTTGAACATGTTACCAAGAGGGACTGGTCCCTGGAGAAGGACATCATGCTTGGTAAAGTAGAGGGCCAGCAAAAAAGAGTAAGACACTCAAAAAGATGGATTGACACAGTGGCTGCAACAGTGGGCTCAAACATAGCAACGATTGTGAGGATAGCGCAGGACGGAGCAGTGTTTTGTTCTGTTGTACATAGGGTTGCTATGAGTCGGTCTCAACAGCACCTAACAGCAACAAATCTAATACATAGGAATTGAAGAATGTAGATTCATTCTCTCAAGATTACGCAGTTGATTTATGAGCCAAAGCGTCCTCCTGGCTCTGTGTAATTAATAAATGATCTTGTCACGGGAAATGGAGACAATATTTTTTATTAAACTGAAAACTGTGATAATTATTTCCTCCTAACTCATCCCTTGGAAAATTATGATGAGGTTTTTTTGGCTTCAGAGGAAATGGTCCCCAAATGGTTTACTTGCTGCATTTCATTTAGCTTAGAGCATCATAACTCCCAAGTCTGTCTCCAAGAGTCTGAAAGAACTTTCTACTAGTAAGGAAATAAGCCACTAAATAAGATTAAAAGGATGGCTCTCTTATCAGATGTAGGTGTCAGTGCTGAGAGGAGCAAGTTCTCTTTTATAGGAACCTTGAGGAACGAATGAGTTTCCTTTCACAGTCTGCTCTCACGTGTGCTCATGGCTGCTCATTCTCAGTCTGAGGGCAGAGAGGAATACAGTGATCAATTAGGGATGCTTGTCATTGGTGGTATTTACCATCCTTGCATAGACTGATCCTTAGGCAGAAGCCAGGAAGACCTAGGCTTGGTTGGACTTCAGGCAGATCTTTTGGCCTTGGCAGTCTTACCCTCCTACATTGGATGAGGTTAGATTCTAAATTCTAAACCCAGTTGAAACCTTTCCTGCAAGAGGTCTTCCTCCCTCCAGCTCTCCTAGACAGCTAGACTAATTTAATCCCAAAGGAATTAATAATTTGACAGGCAAATCCATATATAGTGTATCTTCACATACTGATTATTTTCTTTGCTCTATTTTAAACCTTTCTTTTGCTGACAAAACTAGAGACAAAAACCACCCAGAAGAAAAAACAGCCACTCAAAGAAGCTTCAACATTTTGCCAGAAATGAAGCAGAAATGCTGAGGGACTTAAAATGTTTCCTTCCTGCTCAGTAATGTTTTTGCTGACTCATGATTCTTCAAAGTACGTTAAATTAAAAGGATTTCTTATTTACATCTAGTTGAAACAACATAGCACTACACCAATTGGAATTGAAAGAATACCAGATTAATTTTAGAGACTGAGACTGACAACACCCGCAATCCCGGCAATTCAACATTCCTTATTGAGCCCCCAAGGGGAATGCACACGTGAACAGGACGTGCTGTCCTTGCCCTCGTGAGGTATGTCATCCACTTGACAACTCACTTAATGTAATTACCACCACCCATTTGTATAAGATAAGGCCAGGTTTCCATTCCCCATACAACCTTGAGAAAATATACTGGTTCTTACACAGAAAACAAAGGGAAGACATTTCAAAATTTCTCTTTTAAGATCACATTTCCACTGCAGAAGCTTGAGGACAGGCAGACAAGCCTGAAACAGCTTCAACTAAAGAACCTAAAAGCAGGAAGCAAGAGAATTGGTAGAATTCCTCTTTAATTGGGAGCTCCAGTCCTAGCGCCAAACTGCAGTAGGTTGGATTCTGAGAAGCTGGCGTTGTTTAAAATATCTCAAAGAGAAGATTTGCCTGGAGAAGGGATTTGTAATTTTGGAACTATTATCACACACAGCACTGACTCAGACATAGGCTATGGCTTCATTAACGTCAATTTATAAAGGTTGCTGTTTGCTAATATACTCAAACTTGTACCATGTGAATCTGCACTATTTTTTTAATCATGAAGACTGATTTATATAAACACAGTTTGATTCATTCATTCATTATTTATTGAGTGCATATAATGGACTAGGTATAAAGGTAGGCCTTGGTGGATCTGAAGATAAACAAGACAGGCATTGAGTCTTGCACCCACAAAACTTACATCCTAGGGGGAGACTTATTAAACCAAATGCTCTACCAGGAGTCCACGATTCCAGGGAGTCAGGGAAGGCTCCCAGTCTTGAAGAACAAGAGGTACAAGGAGGACAGAAAAGTGTTCCAGGTAGAATAGTGTGTGAGGGTCTAAAGGAGAAAATAGGATGGCAAGCAGGGCTTCGAATTGGTTTGTTCTGGCTCGAACCCCTGCTGAGAATTTGCATTTCTAACAAGTTCCCTGCTGAGA